CCCCCCCCCCCTCCCCCCTCCACGTTTTGGTGCGGAAACTATCACAATCGCTGCGTGGGAGTTAAGCTCCATTTCCAACCTTTCTTCGGGGAGGGGAGGGGCGCCGTCTCGTTTCCCAAACAGCGGCTGGTAGTCACGCTAACATATATGTTGTGGTTCCATTTTATTCTTGATTCAAATTTTCTTTTCTTTTGTTTCAAACTCATTATCATACATTACAACACCCAAACACAAAAGAAAATAAAATTTGTACCAAGGATAAAATTGAACCACAACGTATACATGGTTTTTAATTTATTCAGTCCTGTGATTTTTTTACCAAATTGTTCTTGGCGACGTAATACGTTGGTGAATCAATTGGAAGACTGCCTCACCATTTATTGTTTCGAGATGTTTAGTGACTGCTGATAGGACAGGAAGCACGTTTGGTTGGGATAGCGAACTACGGCAAATTTAAGAATCGGAATGCGGGAATTTTTTTCGGAATGCGGGAATTTGATGGCGCCTTGGATTCCCTCTTTTCCCATAAGAAAAGCTAATAAAACTGAATAAATCATTGGCGAAGTACACCCAGAAAATAAGCTAACTCTGGATCAATGATAGCTTGCTTCGTTAGACACGAACACTGAAAAAGGTTGTCAGATACCAGCATGTCACTATTGCTCGAAACTTCCAAGCTTCAAAGCTTAAAAATGCTCGAAGCTTCCAAGCTTAAATGGTTTCTGTATGCAGTGAACCTGTTAGATCAGTGTTTATCAGGTTGTGTACGACTTGAAAACGCTGAATTTGAAGGAGAAGATAACATGGATCAAAATTTATAATTTCAAACCAGTAGGGAAACTTGTGGAATAGGCATGTGGAAAAGGTAGGCTTTTGTTTGCGTTTGGTGGCTTAAATAAGTGAAACGAGCCTTGAGAAAACGGGGAATTGGTTCCGTCTCATTTAGGACGACTTCCGTTGCATTCTTTTCCATTTAGTCGAAGAGTTCCAGGGCCGTAGCTAGCACGAGGCAAGA